TTGGCTGAGCTGCAATCTATTGCTAGGAGAAGAAAGATCAAGTTGGAGTTGCAGGTGAGATATTTAAAGGTGGATACGCAGAGGAGAGATAGGAGACCAGTCCATTTGCAGCCGATGGCTAAGTGGGTCAAACCCGCTGATTAGAGATCATGAGGTCAGAGGAACCGCACTTGCAACAAGTGCGGTAAGGGTCATGAGGGTCCCTATCGGGCTGGGAGGGTATACTACTTTTGTGGCAAGGAAAGGCATTTGCAAAGGATTGCCTGAAGGGTTTACGAGTCTGTTTCAACTGCAACCAGGAGGACCATGTGAAGGACGAGTGTCCACTACTTGCATCGAGGCCATTTCAGACTCTTGCTCATGCGGCCCTGCGCATCACGAATGGTCGTAAGGGGAAGGTTTGCCCGAGGTCGAGACTTTCAATTAACTGCAGAGGAGGCCAAAGTAACACTAGATGTCGTTGCTGGTATGTGTTTATTTACATTTATGTTGATTTATTTTATGTATATGCTTATGTTGTGCTCCTGGTACCTTCCTTGGGAAAAAAAATACCATTTTGCCCTTCAAAGACTAAATCCAACACAACTGACCAAAAGTCAAACTGGTCAAAAAGTCAATGGTCAACCCTTAGTTGACCTACGCTCAACGTAGCATACTTATCTACACTAGGCGTCGAGCTCCTGATGAAAAATGGGCAAATCCAAGGCTACGCTCAACATAGCTCCGCTGATGTCCAAAAATTTCATTAAGCACTTAATACATAAAGTTAATCTCTACAACTTTCAGATTTGATTCAAAAGGACGTATTAATGGATAAAGTCACTGACTTTATCAATTTGCATGGCTAAAGGGAGCACAAACCCAAACTCTAATCCATAAAGTCACCTTTTGCTCAAGAACTCATACATGGACGAATGAGACTGTCCAAGTTCTCATTTTAATGACTTCACAACCCCAAAACATCAGAAAATGACACTCAATGATCTGAAGTAGCCCATACTTACATAAACCAAGCTTATTGGGACAAAATGCATAAAATCTCAGGACCAAAACTAGATCTAACATGAATAAGCATCAAGATACGAACTTTATACCTTGTGGAGATGGATGATGGGTTGCAAATCTCGGATCTATATTGACTTGAGCTTCCAAGTGGTTCCACAATGCAACTCATCCTTCAAAAGTGCACACAAATCACTCTAAGAGCTCAAAACTCACAAATGGTGGACAAGGTTTCAAGGTGGTTGGTGAGGAGGGCGGAGGCTGATCATGGGGAGGATCTCAAATAGTTAGAGCCTATAAATAGGGTTCACAACCCTAGGTTTAGGGTTTTGCTTCAGCGCACCTATGCTCTGTGTAGCTTAACCTACGCTCAACGTAGGCCATTAAACTCTCGCATTAGATCTCCCACCTACGCTCAGAGTAGGGGGCTATCCTAGGCTCAATGTAGGACATAATCTTCCAAAAAATGAACAACTTAAATACTATAAAACTTCAAAGAGCAATACCTAAAGATACGGGTGTTACAATATATATATATATATATATATATATATATATATATATATATATAATATATATATATATATATATATACATATATAATGGTAAGCCGCATCGAGCCTGCCCCGGGGCATAAAATACCCATTTTTAAATATGGAAAAGTCATAAATCCATATGGATCAAAAGAACAAGAAGAAGATGTACGACAACAACAACACAAACAATAACAATAACAACGACGACGACGATGATGATGATGATAATAATAATAATAATAATAATAATAATAATAAAGAAGATACAAAACGAAGAATGAGAATGAAATTTCAGAGAAAGGCATGTGAAAAATATGTCTAAAGTTGTAATAGACGTCCTAACATGCTCTAAAAGTTTACAAATGCTGCTAGGGTTGTAAACGAACCGAACGAACACGAACGAGTTTTGTTTATGCTCGTTCATTTAAGTTATTTGAACAAATGAATGAACACGAACGGATAAACGAACAAGTTTTCTTGTTCATGTTCATTCATTTAACAAATTACGTTGTTCATGTTCGTTCGTTTATGTTCATGAACATGATAAACGAACGGAGATAAATAAACATAATTGAGCAAATATGAATATAAATGTACATATAATATAGTAATATACTCAAACACAATTAAACATATATGAACATAAATGAACAAACATAAACAAACATAAATGAACAACATAAACGAACATAATTAAACGAACGAGAATTGTTCATGTTCGGTCGTTTAACTAAATGAACAAGAATTTGTGTTTACTTTTGTTCATTTATTAAATAAATGAACATAAACGAACTCCCGCCGAACGGCGCACGATTAATTTGATGAACCTTCGGTTCGTGTACAACCCTAGATGCTGCAAGAAAGATTGCATTGAAACTATACATGTGCAAATTACATACCCGAGAATCATGCAAAACTCCATTGAACAATCCACTTGTAGCCTTATGAGGTCATCATAAAGACCCGAAGGTATTCCTTGATCACATCAACATTGTAAGAAAATTATGAGAAAAAGTCTATTGGAGGTTATGAACTACTTCCAACACTCTAATCACGGCTTCAGGTCATTGTCTAATTCAAATGCCTATCTATCCCTTTTAGTAATCTGGAAAGGTCCAAGACATCAATAAATAACCAAAGACTTTGAACGAACTCATCATCAACTCAAATGTTCTCAAGAAACAAAGTCCATTAGAACACTACACTTCACTCACATGTTTGGTTCTCATGTGACAACTTTATATTATACTAGTTTATAACCCGTGGAAACCACAGTTATAAAATTAATTAAACTTTCATAGTAAAAACTCTTAATTATTAATAAATTATTAATTAAGAGATATTTTTTTAGTTATATAAAATTATAATCGTTGATTTAAATAAATACATGAAATTATTTTACCTTATAATCTTTATTAATTTTATTTTAATTTTTATTGTAATGTTATTAATTTAATGTAATTAGAGTGAAAAATTTAAAATTTGAAATTTGAAGTGAAGAACCAATAGGGTGACAAGTGACATGACATTAATTAGGAGATCTAATATGACAAAAGAAAAATAAACCTATTAGAATGGGATTCATAATGAGTATGCTGTTTATATTACCAAACGTTTTTTAATGAGTATATTATGTTTGATAATTTAAATTTCAAAGTCAATCCAGATTATCTTGAAGACTAGGACATAATTTTTGTTACCAGTTAAATTTTTTGAAAACTCCCTGTTATTTTCTTTCAAACTTTAATATTTACATGCATTCCTTATGTGTCTTAAAAATAATATTTAATTTGATCTATGTTTTTGCAAATATTAATAAGTCGATGCTTAAATTCTTTATAGCAAAACAAAACTAAAGCAAACTTATAGTTTATATATGAGAACCAATTTTTATAATTTACTAGAAAGGTTACACCCGCTACGTGGGGGCCAGAAGCTTTCAATGTTGTTTCCGAATTGATAAATATGACAGACATAGAAAGTGCAAGGATGAAAAGTCCGGACTTTGCCCCGGACAAAAAATGTAAAAGTTTTGACTGCAAGGACCAGAAGTGTGAAAATGGCTAAAGAATTAAAGGGGTAGGAATTAGCAACTTTTTAGAAAAGGGATCAAAGTTGTCAAACTGTTAAAGTTTTGTGGCCAAACTTTAAATATTAAAAGGTTCCAAAAAAGTGTAAAAATATTGATTGCAAGGACCAAAAGTGTGAAAATGGGTAAAGAATAATGACCAAAGTTGCCAAAAAACATCCAAATTTAGTATTCCTAACTTCCAACAATAATACAGGGACCAATTCTGCCAAAAAAATGGGAAGTTGAATGGAACACAAACAAAAGGACATGAATAAATTAATTAAAGAAGTACAGGGACCGGATATGTAAATCAAGGGGCCAAAGCTGGACAAAGTATGCCAACTTTACTATTCCTTTCTTCCACAACTTTAATATATACTAGAAAGGATTACCAGGCGTTGCCGGGGTCGGAAGGTATTGCTTTGTAAAGTAAAGTAGCATGTTGAATTGCATTGAGATAATCTAGTAAAGGAAGATAAACAATGTCATCTAATTACATAAGTAAAGAAATCTAAATCATTATTTCTTGCAATAAATGAGGAAAATAAAGAAATGGTCTCACAAATTGAACTTTATTGCCATGTATGGCAGCGACCGGAAAACCAATCCGGCAAATATAGACCCGTTGTTTTTTGTCCGTTAATGTGAGAGTAATTTGGTCTTTTCAGATAGTAAGGACTGAATTTGTGACCACGGGTAAACCATATGGACCATTTATGTAATTTTGGCGGTGGTGGTGGTGGTGGTGATGGCAGATGGTGGGTGGCTTTATGGTATTGGATGGGTATTTTCTAATAAATAAAACATGAATTTAAAACCAAAAAGAGAAATATAAATTAATAAAAAAAATCGGATTAGGAGTAAAAGAGTAATTTCATATCACTTTTGTAACAAAATGAAACCACATAAACCAAGTGCATAGAGGTTTTCATCGTTGTCCTCAATGTGTTAAATCTGGTAAACCACAGGAACTAATCGTGTAATTTTGTCTAACAATAATAATAATAATAATAATAATATAATAATAATAATAATACCAACTAATAAAGTGACAATTAAACGAAAACTTAGGGACCTACAATGCCACAAATAACCAACGGAAGTAGAGGGACCAAAAAAGACAAAAAGGAAGCAACTTTAAAATGACCCAAATATAGTTGAGGGACCATTTCTGCTAAAAAAACACCATGTTTAGTAGAGGGACCAAAAAAGACAAAAATGAAGCAACTTTAAAATGACCCAAATATAATTGAGGGACCATTTCTCCCAAAAAAAACACCATGTTTACTGTTAAAATTTTTCACTATCTTTAATATATATATAATAATATAATAATTAGTAGTAATTAATAATGTGAAAAAGCGAAAACCTAATTCAAAAACTCAAAACTTGAAAACGTCCATTGCATGATCAAGGTGATAGATCAACCTGCAACACAATTTTTGGGCATTTGAAAATATTTCGCTATAACTTCCCGCGTTTGGTCTCGAATCTCGATCGATCACGGAATTGCTCATTACCTTCCCGCTTTCACGATTGAATTTCAGCCACTTGTCTGCAACCGTTATCCAGGTCAATGTTCTCAGACAGGGATCGTGATTAAGTAGGTGAGCTCCTTCCTTTTCACATCGGTGGATTTGGATCGTTTGGAGCTGATTGGTCAGTTATTCTGAACTTCAACTCTGATAATCGTTTCATATCCCTGATGTCGTAATCCTGGTTCAGTTCGTAGCCGAATAACTTTGTTAGCACTGCGATCCAGAACCCTAAGTTGCTCAATTTGGTCACCATGACTTCTAAATCCACAATTTATTTACCAAATTCATATCCAGGAACACAATTTGTTAGATGTAGCAATTTTATTCGTTAATCGTTTATATTGCTTTCCATTTGAATTTTTGTTGACAAGTAACCTGATACATATCTTCTATCTTCAGTTCGAGATTCTAGCAACCTGTAGTTCCGAAATTTTTCCATAATTGATCCGAAGTAACGAAGCCGGGGATGGGAAGGCAGCTACATTTACTAGATGTAAGCATCTGTGGATACCTTTAATCACGTCATACCATATCTTTTACATCTCATTATGTTGATCTAAACGTAGCTGTATTGCGTATAGATTCAGTTCATTACTTGACATCAATGGACGAGAATTTGTTTAATCATCTTTCTAATCACGCATTAAATGTTTTGAAGCTCCTCATCAACCACATTTACTAGGATTTTGTCCACTTTCTGCTTTTTTTTGCCCTTATTTCCTTTGTGTCTACTGTGTTTCCCGCTCACTGAAAAACAAATTGTTTCCTACAATGATTTATATGTAGTGAAGTTCAGGAAAATATAGAGGCTTAATTGATCAAATTATCTATGTGCCAGGATCATATGAGTGGAAATTGGAGTTTGGGTAGCAAATACCATCCATGTAGCCAGTCAAGGAAGATATCAATAGGTATCGTGGTTGATTCTGTTGCCAAAACGAAGGGCAAAAATGGAAAGGGAGATGTGACTGAGTTGCAAACTTCACAAAATGTAACATCAGCAAAAGATACTCCCACAGAAAGACAGAACAAAGCTCCATGCCAGGAACCCTCTCCACTGGTTTATACAAACACTTCCCATCAAAAGATATCACATCCAGACACAATTAATCATCCAAAAAAAGTCTCGAGTTTGCCTTCCACCAGCAATGTACTCCTGCAACCTAACAAGATAGTTGGTGAAACTGATCCTGATACAGTTTTTGAAACCCAGATGTCTGATCTTCACTCCAAGGATGCTAATAATGAGGAAAAATCAAAGAAAAACACTTACCAAAGTGAAGCAGGCAGCCATTTTGTCATGGGCAGGGAAGAACAGTCTTCATATGCAACTCCACAGAAAGTAACTGTGCCAGAGAAAGGGATAACAGAGCAGGGAACAAGTGAAAGAGGAAACAATGGAAACATGGCATTAAGAATGAAAGTCCAGGAGTTACTTGGAACTGTTTCTTCACCTAACAAGAAACAACACGACCATGAGACTTTTGGAATGGATGCAAATAATTCAAAGCCCAAGTCTGTGACCAACAAAAGTGATAGCCAACATTTGCAGACAAGAGAAACCCACTCTGGAAGTCTAAACAAGAGACCAGTAACTCGATCTTTCACCAGCAAGAAACCTCAAACACAAAAGTCTGTTCCATTATATCAGTATAAAGAAGCTCAATTAGACAAGAATGTATTCTCTTTTGTAGACAATTGGTCAAAGAAAGCAAGCACAAATGTGAATCATGGGTCTACAATGTCTAAGAGAAAGGAAAGAGGGGTTCATAAAGATGAGAACCATCAAGCTACTGTTGTAAGGAAAAGAAAAGCTGATACTGTAAATGTCTCATTGAAAGAAAACAGAAGAGGAGACATAGAGAAAGTTCAGCCAGATACTGAAATGAAAGACCAGTTTGAAGTTATCGGGACCGGAGGAGGTAATAATAGTACAATGTTAAAGAACAATAAGGATCAAGATTCTTCTTCCAAACATTCCTTAAAGATCAATCTAGACCCACAATATGATCTAAAGAGCCCAACATTTGAGTTCAAAACAGCTCCTAGATCTTTGTTCTACAACAACCATGAAGACCTTGATGTTGGTAGCCTGTCTAAAAGATCCTTCAAATCTCACAGCATAGGGTTTTCAATGGGGGCCCACTCCAATGCAAACACAAATAATTTTACCATGGACCCTCAAGACTGTGTAGCAAAACCAGCTACAGTACACAAAGAAAGTACATATGTAGGATCTGAGAGCTCTGAAGATGGTTCGCCTGTCACAGGTAGCATTTACTTGTGCTGTTCTTCACTTGTTTAGTTAGTTGCCATCTACTTTAATCATAATCAAATATTCTCCTTTTTGTTTTTGCAAATCTAGTGCCAGTTACATTAGAGAACAAGAACATAAATGGAAATAGATGGTCCATATCACCATCATGTCAAGAGGAGGTTTCTGAGAGCTCTGAAGATGGTTCACCCATCAAAGGTAACAATTGGTCATTTACTAAACCCTGTAATTATTATTATTATTATTATTATTATTATTATTATTATTATTATTATTATTATTATTATTATTATTTATCATTGTGTCTTTTAAATGGACAGGGGATGGAGATTGTGAAAATTTTCATGATACTTCTTCAGAACAGGATGGGCTTGCAGGGTATTCCATTCCCATTTTTGAGTTTGATAAATAAACATTTTTTTTCTTCTTCCCAGATCCCATTATACTATTATTTTGATCATTTTTAAATATCTTTCAGTGCTGTGAAGCTGTTTGCCTTGGCCTTAGAAAGAGTTGAAAGCAAAATACATTCAAGCACTACTAGACAATCTGCTGAGATATTGTTGTCTGTTTCCATGAATATACATTCGCAGTTGCAAAACGCTGAATCTAAGATCCAAAACGAAGTGTGGGTAGTAGTCTTACAATTAATTTGTTTATCAAGAATTGAGTTGTTAGTTACCCATGCTTTCTGATTCTTTTTCAGTGGAAAGTTAACAAACCTTGGTAAATCCAAAAGAATGCACCCAGAAAGCAAATGCCAAGGTGATAAAATTATCTAGTTGAAGTTGATCTATGTTGTACTCCATATGTTTTAGATTATTTTTTTACAACAATTTAATGAAAAAAAATTAATACAGAGCAACAAGAGCAGCTGAAGCGCATATACGAGAAATTTAAAGAAGAAGTGGATCAGCACCTTGAGAAGTGCCGAAGCACACTTAAAGGACTAGAATCACATGAGATTGAAGTTAGAGGGATGGTAGAGAAACAAAGTATGACCTTTCTTTACCAAGTCTTGGAATCAGGGAAGGAATGGAATGGTTAATTCCATAAGAATGGACCATTCCTGAGTCCATTTTGTTAATTTTCATGCATGAAATGAAATCAACTATGCAATACAATCCATTTTTATATATGTCAATTTTCATGACATATAACTATATACATATTTTTATAAAATAACCAAAACATATTATTTTTATTATAACTTATTTGGGATTTAATGAGCTTTTATTATGTTTAAATATTTATTTTTATAAATATAGGTTTGCCAATCATAATTAAAATAAAATATAGAATAGAGTTTAAAGTATATGTTGTGTTCATATTATTGATCAATGCTTTCAGGGGTGTCACACAGAAAGCTTCTCATGCAAACTGAAGAAGCTATTGAGGCACAGCTTAATGATGCCCAAAAGAGACTCTCAGATGTTCACAGGGTAAGTTTCTTCCCTTCAAAAAAAAAAAAAAAAAGGTTGCTTATCTTGCCCCTATTGTGTTTGATTTGTGTAGTGCCACTTGGTCTCATTTTGTTGCAGGTGGCAAGGGAGAAAATGGTCAAGCTGAAATATGGTATAGCTGAATGCTTAAAAGAAGGTTTACTCGGTAGTTGAATGACTCTTGTTTTCAAACCAATATCATATATTAATTACTTTTAGGATCAACAACATAATAAGTCATCCCTTGGGTTCTTGATACTCTACTTTTTGTCATTTATAATTAGGTAGCAACATTTACATCCTATTTTCTGTGTTAAGAAATTGAAAAACCATTTCATGTAATCATTAACCATCACTTATCAAGCCCTCACGCTATAGGACAATTTGTTATGGATTGATATACTTCAGCAATAATCAAGGGTTGTAATGTGCATTGGATTCCTTGTGGGGATTGTCAACTCAGAGAATAACCCCTTTTCATGTCAATTCGGGGATTGTTGGAAGAATAACTTTTTTTTCATATATGTTAATTAAAATGGTGAAATAACATGTGGACTTTTACGGATTGAATTGGTATACTAACACAACCATTAATCATGTAAATACCCTTTTAAAGGCAAACTCGCATCTAAATCACAACCCCTTAAATGCGTTTCTTTCCATTGATGCCATAATATCAAGTCTGCTCTTTAAAATACAAATTCAACTTTGATTTGAAAGAATTTTAGGGTTTTAAAAGGTTGATAGGATAAATAAAAATAAGGGGTATAAATATATGAAAGGGACAACAAACTTCTAGGATGAGATAAAGAAGGAAAAGATATTACGAGCAGTGGCCGATGCATGAATTATGATTGTAATTACACATATTTTTTTAGTGGGTGCACCTTAAAATTCCCTAGAGATGCTCTTTCACATTTCTCTGCAGTCTTAGCAAATCAAACCAAGAAATCCATTTATCAAAAGATGATGAGACGGGGATTGATGTACCCTACCATCTAGCCACCAAAAGCAAAAAATCAATCAAGATAGAACATAAAAAACTAGTTTGAAACCAACTCCACCGTTGTATCACAAGTTAGATGCAAGAGTGACGATACATCCACATCTTTACGGTCTAAGTTATTCTTTTTAGGGAGTTTATCCAAAGCCAAACACCAAATCAAGACATTAACTTTATTAGGGACAAGTTATGCCTACAGAGTTGAAATTGAACTAGAGTGAAGGGTGTGATGGTTAATAAAATCTCTAGCAGACGCAATAGTAAAATCTCAAATCTCCTGAACCACCATCGAAACTCCAAGCCCAATGATCTGTGACCATAGATAAAGAAATTATACAGAACATAGCCTGGAGATCGGACCGTTGGAGACTTTTGGCACCTCCAATAGGACCTGCAAAGTGTGTCTTGAGCCATTAAAATAAGCGACGACTTAATATACAGTGACTTATATGATGATGTTAGTGACAAGAATTTAGGTTGTCATTAAAAACTGGTCACTAAGGACTTTTCTAGTAGTGTAAATAACAATAAGTGATATAAATACACCAAAGGTACAAAAAACTTGTTGGAATAAATGACGAGATAAAGAAGGAAACGATAAGTAAAGATTACAAGCTAATATAATAAACAAGACCAAATATTTGGTTTCCTTTAGATTTTGATCCATGACCGGTATGAATAGAAGAAAACTCAAAAAAACAAAATATGTTTATGTTTATTAGCTTTTCTCAGATTTAAAAATTAAAATGTCCTATATTGTAGTTAGAATGAGTAAAATATGATCTCAAAATCTTGGCCCGATATGATCGTTGAAATCCAAAACCTACAAGTTTGATTTGTATATTGTAACACCATAAGGTGCAAATGATGCAATATATGAACGATCAAGAGGATAATTAAAGGGTCTTTTCAGTTATGCTCTTCCTACTTATAAACACCATGATTGTGCATTCTCATTTCTCCATCAGAAAATCATCAAGGCACCATTATGGAAGGATAAGGAATCATAAGGCAGTCATCTTCAACATCAATGATATCTTCAAGTAAGTATTCCTCAATTTATTTAGGGTTATCTATGTTTATGTACAAACTGATCTTGGATTATGTCTTTAAACTTACAATACATAATAATTATAACATTTTTGGATAGTTCATAAATTTCTTGATATGCCACATTGATCATTTTTTTCTTATGTCATGTAGAAATGCTTAGGAGCTTTAGATGGAACACACATAAAGTGCTTATGCCAATTGAAGACAAGCCTAAGTACCAGACTAGAAAGAATGATATTGCCACAAATGTCCTAGGGGTGTGTTCATGTCACACCCCCAAACCGGAACAGCGGAAACGTTCGGGGGTGGATGACGTCATGTGCAGTATCACAACAATTGCATAATATTAATCAAAGTACAACAACCATTACATTGATAAGGTATAGTTTTACATTCGTGTTCAAATCAATGTATACTTGACACCAAAATGTATAGCAAAAGTTAAAAGACATGAGTCTATGAAGCCCCGTCTTCTCAAAACTTGTGGATACCTGTTTACTGATTTCCTGAGAATACAAGTAGTTTTGAAAATGGTGTCAACAATTAAGTTGGTGAGTTCATAAGCATGTTTATAACTAAAATATGTCATTTGTTCCTTGAAAATGTAAGTATGTTTTCCCAGAGACTCCTATATTTTCTGTTGTAATATGTTGTAGTCTTAATACCCTAAGACCAAAACGTGTAAATGTTATTATATTTTGAGATAGTATATTGTAGTTTTATTTCACATAAAACCATGAAAAGTATGTTTTCTCTGTACTGGATTAGTATTCTGTAATTGTACTTGTATAAAAACTCTGTAATTGTAAGTACCCGGATTCACCAGCTGTATTGTAAATTACTGTATTATAAAATAATGTATTGTAGTTTCATTATTAATAAAACTATGTGAAGTTGTTTCCTTATTCATACACTAATCGTATTGTTCAATACCAAATTATGAGTTATCATAACCATGCTTAATGACCTAAGATGGCCTGAACACGACGTTCTTCAGGCGTCGCAATCGGTACGACATTTGTCACCCCAGGCCTGCCGGCCTAACTGTAGCTAACAGTTAAGGTGCGGGATTGTCAGTCCCGTATAGATCTATACACAAGTGTCACGCTCTCCCTCCAGGAGACTCTGGTTATAATTTTAGGACTTGGTTGGTACTTAGATAAGTACGTGAAGTGTGTCTCACAAATGCTATATTGACGGTTACGTGTAGAATAATGAAAAGTCCTTTTTATGATAAATAACTATACGTATGTTCCATAAACTATATCTATTATAGTTTATATCTTTGTTTTCTGTAATGTAGTCTGAACTTGGTAATATAGTACATATGATCCATAAACTATACCTATTATAGTTTATATGTTTGTTTTCCGTATTGTATCTTAACCGTGTTAAATGATATGTAAGTTCCATAAACTATACCTATTATAGTTTATATGTATGTGTTCTACTGAAACGAAAACCTTTGTATTGTTAATGATTTGGCAAGTTTAAATCGTAAAAACCCGTGATAAAGTTGTTCCGTAAAATTTAACATTTATGCCCAAATGGTACTAAAATAGATTGCAAAGATAATATTTTTGTTTAACAAGTTTAAATGGTTTTATACTTATATAAATATAATATTTATATAATTATGATTAAAAATGCGGTCGAATAAATAATTCTACCCTAAGCCCACAACCAAACAAGGAACAAGAAATAGAGTAAAATTATGAATAAATTACACGAATGGTCCCTATGGTTTAGGGCAATTTGCGCGTTTGGTCCCTAACTTATTTTTTTAACTCGGAAGGTCCCTATTGTTTGTTTTTGTTACGCATTTGGTCCCTGTCTTACCTAAAAGGTACTATTTTTTCCGTTGATTTTTTAATTTAATTAAAAACACACACCCCCATTCTCACCCCTCATCTTACCTTACTTACCCCATCATTTTTCCCTATATATATAATAGTCTTTTTAGGTAAGATAGGGACCAAGTGCGTAAGAAAAACAAATAGTAGGGACCAAGCGCGTAACAAAAACAAATAGTAAGGATCTTCCGAGTTAAAAAAAATAAGTTAGGGACCAAACACGCAAATTACCCGAAACCATAGGGACCATTCGTGTAATTTACTCTAAAATTATCAATTCTAAGTCTGTTGAACCTTAATTATATAATATATATATATATATATATATATATATATATATATATATATATATATATATATATATATATGTTTTTAATAAAGACAACGATTGACAAAATATTGAAATCATTTGAGTAAATTACACGAATGGTCCCTATGGTTTGGGGTAATTTGCGTATTTGGTCCCTAACTTACTTTTTTAACTCGGAAGGTCTCTACTGTTTGTTTTTGTTACGTGCTTGGTCCCTACTGTTTGTTTTTGTTACTCGCTTGGTCCCTGTCTTACCTAAGAAGACTATTATTTGAATTGGGAAAAATAGTGGGGTAGGTAAGATAAGGTGAGGGGGTGAGGTAGGGGGTGTGTTTATTTAAATAAATTAAAAAATTAAGGACAAAATAGTCTTTTTAGGTAAGACAGGGACCAAACATGTAACAAAAACAAACAGTAGGGACCTTCTAAGTTAAAAAAATAAGTTAGGGACCAAACATACAAATTACCCTAAATCATAGGGACCATTCGTGTAATTTACTCAAATCATTTAGATATTAACACAAAATTTCTTGGGTTACACTTGTATTCCCCCCCTAAAACAGTGAAAAATTATGAAAACGTAGGGGTATGAACTTACCTCGAGTGCGTGTTCTTGGTTGGTTACGATGTGGTAGTGATGATTCCCAGGTTAGAACATGTGTTAACAAACGTATCCTAATAATATTATACACATAATATTATGTATGGATTAGTTGAATTTATATGTTAAATGTTTTTAAAAAGACTAAACTAATTCATAGTAACTTACTAATTTTCTGGAAAATTTGGATGCAGATACGATGTGTTCTTGAATGTATTTTGAAGGTTTGAAGTTTAACTGGGTAGATGTTTTGATACTTGAGAGCATATGAGGTGAGAAATGTGTTTACTGTATGTGCCAAATGAATCCCATTTGTATCTTAAGTATGAAGGAAAAAGGTAGGCGGTTTGAGGTGATGTTTACGTTGGTAATTAGATTACATCATGTGACATCCCCTAATTTCTCGGCCAGAAAAGACCGATTTAATTTATGCTTTTTAAAATCAAATCAGAGAAATCTTTATAAAAGATGTTGCGGAATTGGTCCCCAAAACAAAATATGACAAAAGTTTGTCAAAACCTTTCTTTAAGAAATATATAATTTCATTTCATATCAAAACTTTGGGATGTCATGTACCGATACAGATCAAAAGCATAAACCAAA